ACAGTACATGGTGAGCTGGGGAGCCCTGTGGGACCCCTGGGCCCTCCTCCACCCCCCTTGGGCTGTTCTAGGGGTGCCTGGTCCTGGGGTCTCCCTGTGTTGCTCTGTCCCTTTTCAGTGATGTCCTCCAGGTTGTCTTCTCTCCCAATATATGTAACCCTGTTGCTTCATCCTGTGGTGGGGAGGAAGGTCTGTGGCTGGTTTTCCCCCATCCCCTGGTCCAGCTCTCCCTTCTCCCCAGATTGCTCTGTTGAAGATCCTCCTTGCTGCAGCCCCCACTTCCAAAGCCAAGACGGACTCCATCAACATCCTGGCAGATGTCTTGCCGGAGGAGATGCCGTAAGTGACCGTGGAGGTGCTAGGTGGCAACAGAAAAGGAGGAGGGAATGGGTTGGAGCAGGCAAGCTTGCAGGCTGGAGCTAGGCTTGGCCTTGTCCAGCTTATGAAGGTCATCTGCCCTGTCTCTGTTTCCTAGAGGTTCTATTTTCCATTGGCTACAGGATTTGCCTTTGCTGATCGTGGTGTCCTTATGTACCGTTCAGCAGTGTCCGTGCTGCTCCCCAGAGGTGGCTGCCTCTTGAGGGCAGGGAGAGTGGGTCCAAGTGCTGCATGGATGGGTTTGACTGTGTGTTTTGGAGGTGAAACGTAGCCAGTGACCACTATTCGTTTGTTAACCTGGGACTAAGTGACAGGAGGCGCATGGAAGGGAAGGGTGCATCAGATGTTCCCTAGGGCTGGCTGGGTGTGGGCAGTGTCCCAGCCTAAGGGCACTGTCCTCTCTCTCTGTCCCTTAGGACCACAGTGCTGCAGAGCATGAAGCTGGGGGTGGATGTCAATCGGCACAAGGAGATCATCGTCAAAGCCATTTCCGCTGTGTTGCTCCTCCTGCTCAAACACTTCAAGCTGAATCACATTTACCAGGTGAGGTGGGCCAGAGTCCGACCACCCCGCCACGGGGCTTTGGGGGTGGGGAGCACCCAGGATGGGTCCCCGCTCACCTGCCCACCCTGCCTTTCCTCCCAGTTTGAGTACATGGCCCAGCATCTGGTCTTTGCCAACTGCATCCCACTCATCCTGAAGTTCTTCAACCAGAACATCATGTCCTACATCACTGCCAAGAACAGGTAGTGGAGGGGGGCTGGCCACCCATGTCCCCTCCGGGGGTGTTGCAGGGAGCCCAGCTGGGTGTGGGGTGGTGGGTCCCTGCTTGCCTTGCTCCCTCTGTGGTCTCCCCCTAGCCGTAGCTCGGGTGCGGGCGGACACCCGGGAGGTGCTTGTTGCAGCCCATCTCCTGCAGGCGGGAGGTGGGAGGCTGCATCACCCCTACGCCAGGTAGAGTCTGTGGAGCAACGTGACGCCTCCCTCTCCTTTCCACAGCATTTCCGTCCTGGACTACCCATACTGTGTGGTACACGAGCTGCCGGAGCTGACGGCGGAGAGTCTGGTAAGTCACTCCATTCTCTTCTAGGCCCCGGTGGCTTGGGCAAACTGTGCAGGCTGGGATGCTTCTCGGAGGGGATCATAGGGGAAGGAGAGGACGGAGCTGTGGCGCCTTGCCCTGGCACCCTCAGCGCTTCTACCCACAGCTCTTGAGACCTCTGGGGGTTCAATGGGTGCAGCACCTTCCCACTGAGCATTGGGGTACGGGGGCTGGCAGGTGTCTCCTGGCAGACAGATACTCAGTGCTCCTTTGGGCAAGGGTCCTAAGAGCAGAGCAGCCCCTCTTCTTCCTCCCCTCATCCCCGCTCGAATCTCTTGCTGTCCCTTCAGCCTCTGCTTTCCCTGCAGGAAGCTGGGGATAACAACCAGTTTTGCTGGAGGAACCTGTTCTCCTGCATAAACCTCCTGCGCATCCTGAACAAGCTGACCAAGTGGAAGCACTCTCGCACCATGGTGAGGGCTGGGGAACCCTGTTGGGGCTTGACCGGGCCAGATTGGACTGTCTCAGGGTGCCTGGACTGGGTGAAGGGGCTGTGGATACCCTGGCTGCACCTCATGTGTCACTCCAGGCCTTGCTGAGGAGTGGGGGCAGCGGTGGGGGTGGCTGCTTGGAGGCAAGGGAGGGTATGTGGAAGGGGAGAAGGGAAGGCACCAGCGTGGGTGTGTGCACGCTGTAGGAAAGGGGTGTGTGTGTGTGTGTGCGTGCATGTGCTGTATGAAGAGGTTGATGTGTGTGTGCGATAGGAAGCATTTGAGTATCTGTCCCAGCCTTGTCAGCTCTCATTTCCTGCTTGCTGGCTGGCTTTGCCCCACAGATGCTGGTCGTGTTCAAGTCAGCACCCATTCTGAAGCGGGCACTGAAGGTGAAGCAGGCCATGATGCAGCTCTACGTGCTGAAGCTGCTCAAGGTGCAGACCAAGTACCTGGGCCGGCAGTGGAGGAAGAGCAACATGAAGACCATGTCGGCCATCTACCAGAAAGTACGGCACCGTCTGAACGACGACTGGGCTTACGGCAATGGTACGTCCAGCAGCTGCTGGAAAACGTCCTGCTACCTAGTGCCCTTCCTGCTCCACGCAGTGACACCTTTGAGCCCAGAACTGTCCCCTTGCTGCCTAGGGCCTATGCAGCCCTTAAGTCTGGGCTGTGAGGATGGATTTGGGGTGGCAGTATTGCAGGGAAGAGGGAAGGGGCTGGGGATGGGCAGTGAGAGAGCTGTTGGCAGCTGCCTGCTCTGTGCCCCCGTATGTTGTTCGTTGTGAGGGCTCAGAAAACTTTGGCCTCTGGGGTTCAGGTTGGGTGAAGGGCCCCCCAGACAGCTCCTCTCTGACACCCCTTCCCTCTGCCCAGACCTGGATGCCCGACCCTGGGACTTCCAGGCTGAGGAATGCGCCCTGCGCGCCAGCATCGAGCGTTTCAACTCGCGCCGTTATGACCGGGCGCACAGCAACCCCGACTTCCTCCCTGTGGACAACTGCCTGCAGAGCGTGCTGGGCCAGCGTGTGGAGCTGCCTGAGGATTTCCAGGTCAACTACGACCTGTGGCTGGAGAGGGAGGTCTTCTCCCGGCCCATCTCCTGGGAGGAGCTGCTGCAGTGATGGCACCGCTGCGAGGACGACAAGGGAGGCAGGAAGGGGGTCGTTCAGGGAGAGACTCGAGCCTGGCCTGGGCTGGGCGCTGAGGATGCTGCGGCCCCTCTCCAGCCGTGAGCTGAGGGGCAGGGGGGGGAACTTGAGGGGGGGGGGCGTGAGCTGAGGGGCAGGGGGGTGAACTTGAGGGTGCGAGGCTTGGAGGGCTCTCCAGGTGCCTGGTTGCCCTGTGGCAGAGTTAGGAGGAGGCTTGGGTTGGGATGGATCCTCATCGAGGTGCTGTCCTGCCCCTCTGCTTCCTTCCAGGCTGCGCCAGACTCGACCCCATGCCGAGGGTGGAGGTTCAAAGAGGTCACGGTGCTCTGGGTGTTACATGGGAGAGACCTTCTGTGTGCACCCCAGGTTGATCCTTTTGGCTGTAGTGTTGCAGTCACCCTCCTGCCTTTTCTAACCAGTTGGGGCTGAGAAGGACAAGTAGCCAGTGGCACAGGGAGCGGGGCAAATGGGGGTGAGGGTCCCTTTGGTGCTGCTGTGGGACATGGGGAGTAGGTAGCCACGGGCCGCCGTGGCAGTAGAACCGTGTCTGCCCCCTCTCCAGACCCGGCGTGGGGATGCAGTGGCCTGGTCTTGCCTGCATCCGGGTGCTGGGGGCGCGGTGGCCGTGGGGTGGAGGGGCTGGGGCTGTCCCCCTTGCCGAAGGGCCAGGGAAGGCTGGGGACTGCAGTCTTCCCTTGACCCACTAGGTGGGGTGGATGAGCTGTACATACATATATATATATATATATATTTATATATATATATACATATATACACACACACATACACGTGATATCTCTGAACTGAGCGTGTTTGGACTTTGTCTGCGTCCCCATTGCTTCTCCCAGGGAAGCAGCAAAGGGTAAATCCAATGACGGGACTAAACTGATACTTAATTTTATCTTTAATACTTATCTTGCAACAAAAGCTGTTGGCTTGGTGAGCCAAGAGCGTATTGTCTGGGGGAGCTGGAGGGGAGCGGGCAGGAGCTGGCTGGTACAAGCAAGTGCCGTTCATGCTTCTCCAGGAGCAGGTCGGGCTGTTTGCAACCAGCCCTGAAGGCAGGACTGTGGGGACTGAGCCTGGGCGATGCTGGGGGGAGCCTTGCCCATCCCAGCCCGAGCGAAGGCTGGCAGCAGGGACTAGGGAAAGGATCCATTGAAGGTCCTCTCCCTGTCCCCAAACTATCTTGGGGACTGCCCTGGTTATTTCCGACACCATTGTGTTGGTGGTGTAACGGGGACTTTCTTCACCCCTTGCAAGAAGATAACGGTTGTGTCTCAGCTTGCTGCCAGCCCTTTCCTGGGCCCAGGGGAGCAGCGTTTCTGGAGCTGGGCCGTGGGGAAGAAGGCAGCCCCGAGCCGGGGGCTGCTTTGGCTCCGCACTAATTGGGAGCGATGGCTAAATGATGGGGGAGATGGCTGTGGGGGAAGGTGGTCACCTGGTTAATGCTACTGGAGCAGACGCTTGGATGCCTTCCTCCTCCCAGAGGGGGAAATTATCCTGTGCCGGGCAGAGCTGGGGTCTGGAGGCTGGCAGGGAGCAGATCAGGGTTAGGCAGCTTTTGGGCTGGACGGGAGAGGAGGAGATGGGGGACGTTTGGCTGGGGCATCTTGCTGGGCTCAGAATGGGCTTTTTCCCCATGGGTTTGGCTCCCCTCTGGCTCCGAGGCAGCTCCAGGCCTGCTCCCCGCGAGGGTGGATCCGAGTTTGGTGCAGAGCTGGGCACACACGGTGCAGGGCACCTCCCCGGGGTGCTCCTGGGGCACCGGCCGCCCTACGGCAATGCTCTGCAGGGATCCGCGTCCTCTGAGCATGGAACAGCCCTGCGCTGGCGTCCCCCGCTCGTGCTCAAAGCCACTGAATCAGGTGGGTCTGTCCTTGGGGCTTGAGGGATGTGGGTTCAAGCAGGGATGTGATGCAAAAGCGGGTGATAAGGGGACAGGAACCCGTCCCTGAGAAACCAGGAGGGCGCAGAGACCAGCACAGCCAGCTGAGGAGGAGGAGGGCCAGGTAATGGGTTTGCAGCAGTCTCCGTTGTCCAACATGCTCCCGCAGAGGAGCCGGCGATCAAACCTACGGGCCCAGGGATGCTCACCCTTGTTCCAGGCAGTGCGGCGGTTTCCCTGGCAGTGGGAAAAGAGCGGTCCCTGGCTTGGCTAGGCGATGCTGGGGAGGGGAGAAGGGTTTCTTGCCTGGTTAATGAAATCCCAGGGCTGTCACCTCTGCTTTTGGGAGGAGAGAGACAAGTCAAGGGAAAAGGAGGCTGATTCCCTGCTGAAATGTGGTTGTGTTTATGGGGAGAGGGAGGCTGGGGCAGCCTGGATTTATTCCCCTTGTAAAGGTCCCCGTAGCCTGCCGGGATGAAGCCAGGCTGAACCGTTAATGCTCCAGTGACTACAAGAGCGAGCCCTGGCTTTTGTCTCTGCCCGGGGGGCTCGCGTAGCTGTGAAGGAGGAGGCAGGCAGCTGCCCAAGCTCAGCCGGGCTCCAACTGCCTTGGGGACCGGTGGGACTAGCCCTGCCTGTGCCCTCGCAGCCTCTGCCCAGGGAGGCTGTCTGGGCTCCTGGTCTTCTGCGTGTCCGCCGGCTGCTCCTGAGCCCGCTTCCCGCCCCGGGGCAGAGCCCTGGAGATGTTCAGCCTCTCCCAGCCCAGCTGCGGGGCCAAGGGAGACCCCGTCGAAGGACGGAGGCGGCGAACGCAACCCTTAGTAGACGTCAGCGAAGCCACGCGGGACAGCATCGATCGAAACATGCAGCTCATCGGTCCCCGGATGGTCCTGGCGGGCGCTGGGCCACCTGGTGCTGCCCGGCGCTCCCATCCCTCTTTCCCCACCTCTTTCCTCCCCTTTTAGCCCAAGGGACGTCCTGGGGATGAGGGCTCAGTGGAGACCAGTGATCCTATAGCGAGCATCTTCCTGGCTGTCCCTTGGCTCTAAACATCCTCGTCTGCCTCGATCGTCGGTGAGCAGCACGGAGGTGGGGGGAGAAGGATCCGTCCGGGAGGCAGCCACCCTGCCTTCGGCCCCGTGTCCCTGGGTTGTCGCCATCACCCTGCAGCCGTGGCACGGGTCGGCAGCACGGGAATTGAGCTGGGAAGGCGGCACGGGTGCTTGCGGGGACCTACAAAAGGGTGTAAAAAGGGGTGATGCATCCCCGCAAGGGGTGCGAAGGCTCTTCCCTCCTGCCTGGCCCCCGGAGCCGGCGGCGCTGCTCTGAGCACGAAGCGCTTCATCACACCTCTTCTGCCTCCAGTCCTCCCTCCGCCTGCTCCAAAACGTTCCCCAGCTGTGCGAGGCAGCACAGAGCGCCGCTTTTATCGCGCTGCCGGAGCCATAAATAACATTAAAAATGTGTTTTATTGTTTATAGATGAATAACAAACCCCCTGCAGACGGGGATGGGGTTGGGGGGGTGCTGCAGCCAGGCTGGCGATGGGGTGGCAGTGCCCGCTGCCGTCACCGACGGAGGGCAGCAAGGATGGAGCAGCCCAACGTGTCCCGGCGGAGGCCTCATTTATACAGCGGGAAACGGGCACGGGATGGCTAAAGACGACCCCGCAAAGCAACAGCTTTTGGTGTAGTGTCTTTTATCCCAGCAGATTCCCCACTCTTGGCTTTCCCCGATGTCCCTCCAGCTTGCTAAAGCGCTGGCGCTCGTGCGGTGCAGTGCGGCCAGTAGGGAGAGGTGCTCCTGGGCTTCGGCGTGACGCTTGCTTCACCGAGAAGCCCAAGTGCTGGCGAGGAGAAAGGTTTGGGGTGAAGCTTCGAGGGCGGATCGAGTCTTGCGGAGGGATTTTGGCGGCTGGTTTGCCCCGGCGGGAGGCAAATTCCCCCTGGGGAAGGGCTCGCTACCCCCC